GCGCGCCCCCCTCCCGCCCCGCCCCCGCGGGCAACGGCTCCTGCGGCTGCAGCCTGCGGGGCCTGGAGGCCGGGACCTGGTACCACCTCCGCATCGAGCCGCTCGCCGGCGGGGAGGCTGTCAACATCTCCGTGCAGACAGGTATGGGCACGGCAGGGGCTGGGGGAGGGACGCCGGGCTTTTCCTTCCCGTCCCCTTGCTTCGGCCGGCTGTAAGAGGAGGAGAGCGATGCGTTTACAGCTACTGTAAACCTACAGCGTTTGCTGAACGTAGCTCCTGGTACCACCTCCGCATCGAGCCGCTCGCCGGCGGGGAGGCTGTCAACATCTCCGTGCAGACAGGTATGGGCACGGCAGGGGCTGGGGGAGGGACGCCGGGCTTTTCCTTCCCGTCCCCTTGCTTCGGCCGGCTGTAAGAGGAGGAGAGCGATGCGTTTACAGCTACTGTAAACCTACAGCGTTTGCTGAACGTAGCTATCCTGCGCTTGCGTTCTCTTTACCCCGCTGCCAGAAATAACCGCTGCCAAAAGTTAACCCAGCAGGCTTGAAAGGAGAAGGTGCCGTGAGGAGACTAGGTCAGTGCTGGGAATACCTTTCTGCTACTCCCTTAAGCTGCCATCCAGCAGAATGCTTTAAGAAGTAGTAGCCCGTAACATCCTTTGTGCTCGTGCAAACCCATTGGCTTCATAGTTCTTCAGGTGGCAGCTTATTTGCTGTGTTTAAAATACAATCTGTTTCATGGCAGGTAGGTCCTGTTCAAGGATAACTTACTGTTTCAGCCCATTTCTATACTTTTCTTCTGTCTAACCAGAGTCTAAAAGTCAGAAAGTAAGGCTGAAACTTCTTGCTTGTATGTTTTCCTTGAATACAACCAGTGAGGTGTTGTGATGTACAGTTGTGTGCAGAGCACTTGCACAGTCACATCCACGACTGGCTATAAAAATGTTCCAGCAGCCTGCCAGAGTACTGCCAAGAAAAGCCCCCTTTCTGAATGCATGGTTGTGTGTGCATGTGAACAGCGCAGCTGTGAAGCAATGAACGACGTAGAGCCATGGGCTGCAGTGACAGAACTGGACTTTTTCTACCTGTATTAGTGTTTTTTTTAAAGATGATGAAATAGAGTATTGTCCAGGCTCTTAATGGTGGTAACAGAAGACTCAAAACAGAGATGTCTTAAATGAGGTCCATGATTAAATGCCTCCCTGATTTGCTCCGAAAGTGTTAGTTTCAAAGAGGTACTTTGCAGTATTAGTAGTGAAGGTCGCAGCAGCTAAATACTTCACAATTACCGGTTCAGAGATGTCGTTTACTGTCAGACCCTTTTCCCTGCATTAATCGTACAAATGCACTAGATACCCTCCATTAATTTGCTTTGGTAACTCAAGTTTAAAAAAGTCTAGTGACAAGTCTGCTGGTGTGATAGCTATACATTAAGCACAAAGTCATGTCACTTGCTAAAAATGAGTAATAGTTTCTATGCAGACAGTGATTTAAATCCATGTCATGCATCCTGCCAACTGTTTTTAATATTGATGACTTGTAATTTGAAAATTGAAAGAATGAATCAACCGTTATCAGAGTGACAGGTATAAATCATCATCGTTACTGAATAGTAGAGATCTATTATTGAACACTTGCGTAGAAGTAGAGAAAAAGATACCACTTTAGACCGCATTTTGATTAATGCATAATCATTTAGACAGTAGCTTGTACATGCCATTTATGACTTTTTTAATCAGTAAATAGATTTTGCAAGACTGTAAGATAAAAGTGATTGGAAGCAACTGCTGATTCTAGTCATATTACATAGCTGACATCAGACTGAAAAGACTGATTAAAGTTTAAGTTGAAATACTGCAAATTAGTGGACCATAGTTGAAGTGAGGTTTATGTTTGGATTTTGGATAGCAGAGTCAAAAGCATGAAATAAGAATAGAGGAACCATGGAGGTTTTCTGCAAAGACAGCTACTCAGATTGCTCCGTGGTTCCTTGCTTCCCTTGATTCAGTCACATCAGTTACATTGCTTGATGGTGTTAAAAATACGCAATTAGCTCCATAATGTGTCAATTTATTTTATTTCTAAAGAATATACAGGGTTTGTTATGCCTGTCAACAACCCATGTTGTACTGTCAATACTATGCATTTCAACGGAGAATGAGGGAGGATTATTCTGCTGTATGTTTCCACTGGGGGCAGCATTTTAAACCAGTTTCCTGGAAGCTCTTTTTCACCTGTTCCTTTGTAACCTGATGTCAGTAGTTTTGTTTTACCATCTACTGAGCCTGAATGTCCATAGGCGTGTGTTCCTGGAAACCATCCTGTGAATATGGAAGTATGAGCAATATTTTCAGCCATATTGTAAACAAAATCCCCTCTGATTTGAATGGTAGCAGAACTGAGCTATCATGGGCTGTCTAAAAATATGATGTCTGACCTTGGTACTCAGTGAGATTCCCTTCCTGGGCTTTTTGTCTAAGAAAGATGGGCAAAGCTGTCCTTTGGAGGTGCGCGGCTTTCTCCACTGACTATAAAAGGAGCCTAGGTTAAACCAGGCACCTGAAGTTTGGATGGTTGAAGTTAAGTGAGAGGAATCCCATCTCATGTGTTTACTTTTGCAAAATGAGGTTTTGAACATCTGTATCGTCTTGATACAATAAATGTACACAGAGAAAGTTGCAGATTCATTTATATACCTAGTTCAGAAACTTTAACTTTTTGCTCATATTCAATGCTGTTAACATTTTCATGTGCTCATTCCTGTTATGTGTTCTGTTTTCATCATGTTTCTTATACAACGTGCTGGAGTAGCTAAGCCTATAAAATCCAAAATATTTTCTTAAATTTTGAGTGTGATCTGTTCTGACTAAGGACTTAAGGTGAAAGCGATGAATAATGCGTGCCATAGGTGCAGTTGTAATGTGAAGGCTTGGAAAGGACCAAATCCCTAACTTAATTTGGCCTTTTGAGTATTTAATTTCACATTAAAATTAGAGTTATGACAATGAGTTAAGTCTATGTTATTTGCAGGTTTGATATTCCAATGGAGTAAGTGTGCAGCTCACCAAGATTGTATAAACTCTCAAGTAACACCAGACCCTTCGTGAATCTCTGAGTAGAGAAGCAGCTTCTATTTCACTTGTGGATGCATAGGTCTGAAATCTAATAATCTATGGAATACTAGTACAATAATCCTCACTAGTCCGCTAAGGTGGAGTCTCTTTACTCACAAGAAATTTTTATCTATGGGTTATCGATTTAAAATTACAAGTATTTAATCCTCTGGAGCAGACCTAAAATAGGTCCTCCAAAACGATGGAAAATACAACCACATATGCACTATATGAGCCAGGTATACACAGGCGTGCAAACACACATGCAATGTTGACAGTTGTGCTATTTTGGTAGAATAGGAAATGAAGAAAAAGCTGATAACACCATTTATCAGCTCTGAGCTACAGTTAAATTTCCACTGCAAACCTGAGATTACAGAAGTTAGTAGGCACAAGTCTGTATATTTATTTCACATTAATATTTACCATTTATTGTGGTTTTTTAATATATATACATAAAACAGCACATAAAACCATACTAGTCAGCATGCTTGACATTGTAAAGTTGGGACAACACATGCACCTGTCGATCCTTTCATGTTATGTTCTTTATTGTTCTCAGGAATACTATTTCTGTGACTGAGAGCTACTCTATGACAAAAGATGGTAGGGTTGTGTCTTTTCTCGTTTCAGATAAAATACTTTTTAAGTTTTCAATTCTCCAAATGCCTGTGCACCAGCATAACTGTGTATTTTCCGTGAATGACAAGGTCTTTAATTAAAATTCTAGTTAAAAACAATAGTATATGAACAGATCCTCAATTACAGTTAAATTTATGAATTTCAATTCTGAATTGAAATTTGGATTTGAAATACTGGTCTTGAGAACCATGAAAAACAGCGTGGCAATTCCTCGGCTTTCAAATGTGTCTTCTAAAATAGGCTTATAAAAGCCATTTTTAACATTGTTTTCTACAAAAATATTTCAATGATATATTATGTTGCTGCCTAATCCAAGCCACCTGTACTGAGAGAACTAACAAGTAAATGAATTTTTGTCAGAACAATTGCTAAATTTTTGAATGAAAAGAGGTTAAAAATTCTACCTTCTAAGACACAGACTGGTAGAGTATTTTTCCATTGTAATATGTAACTTTGTAAATGCCAGAAGCATGGCTTGGCCATGTGTTCACTCCTGTAAATTACAAATTATTTGGGACAAATCTGATTTATTAGCCATCTGTAGGAACAACTACTGTGACATGGCTCTGACTATAGGCTGTATAATCCTATCATCCATAATCACATAATAGTTATGATCATCATCTCAAAAGGCAGACTACAAGAAGAAAATAAATAACCATGTTTTAAAGATTTTCTAGGTTGCATATCATCCCGAAGAAATGGATATTTGTACTTAATAAGGACAATTAAATCATCCCTCTTTACTTAATCTTCAGAGAAGTCCTTGTGAAGTAGATTACTGTTTTTATGAATAGGGAAAACTAGGAAAAAAATGGATAATTTAGTAGGAAGATGACTGAAACTGGCAGGAATTCCCGGTTACTCAGTGCTGGGCTCGTATCTCTCAGTTATTTTTTTTCTCCAGCATAAGGCTGGGATGTTTCTGTGCTTACAGGCTGTATTTGGGAGTCATGTCATTGGGGTTGGACGTAACTATATCTGTCGTTCCTATAAAATGTGTCTGTAGCAGGTGTGCACACAAAGCATATCCTCTTCCCAAAAAGTGAAAAAGGAGGTGGCGCAATATATTTCAAGCAACATTCAGTCTTCTGCAAGATTCCTTTGTAGACCAGGAGACATTAATTCATATAGTATCAAATGGTATAAAAATATCTTTGTGAAAATATTTTATTTCTGTGATATATCGGTGTTGTATCGTTGCCAGCAGAGACTTGTATAACAATGTAAATGGCTTTTTAAGTGTTTGTTTCCATCCAGGGCTCTTTCAGCCCAGGCACTTCCCAATCACATTGTTCCTTTGTTCTAGCGGATGTACAAAGCACTGAGTGTTTTGTTTTCTGGACCAGATAGATTAGATAAAGTCTGAATTTCTGAACTTCACCTTCTAGGCACGCAACTCTCTTCTTTGCTAATGCACCTCAGAAGACAGATTACCCAGGACGGTATAAGCGCTTCTAAAATTGTAGAAGATGTCTTCTTTTGTAGAATTTGGCAAATAATGCAAATTACAATGTTGGTTACTTTTGCAGGACTAACGAGCAGTCAACCTTATCCTAACTTTGTGAGAGAGAGAGTTAAACTTCTTGACAGTTATCATGACTGTTCTTTTGATATCAGTCGAATTAAAACTTTTTCAGCTGGCTGTGCATCTGACCATATATAGTGCTGGAATTTATTTCTGACTCCCAAAGTTTGACCTTTCTGATTAGAACAATTGCCTTCAAGGAACGAGATTATATCCCCGCTATTCACTTGTGCCAACATAATAGTCTTTAGCGGCTTAGTATATATTATAGGTGGAGCTGGTTGTCAAGGCTATTGTTAAGATTTCCTGACACTTTTCATTAAAACCTCCTGTTTCAATTGCTGTAACTGGGTGAAGTTTTAACTATTTGGCCTGAAGTTTCATGTGCTTGGTCTTTGACTTGAGTTTTAATTTTTTTTTTTTTTTTCAGATTTATGCAGAGTTAGTTTGGCCTTTAAGAAAGAGGTCAAGAAAAGAAGATAGTTATTTTTATTTATTGATTTTGTTAATTTAATTTTCATCTCTTTTTCTGAAGAGCACTAGCATCTCTGTGGTCCAAAACAAAAATCTGAATTTAAGCAGAGACCTAGGTTCAAAGGGACACAGTATTTTTCGCAGAGTCACAGAATGACAGAATGGTTGAGGTTGGAAGGGACCTCTCGAGGTCATCTGGTCCAAGCCCCCTGCTCAGACAGGGCCACCTGGAGCCAGTTGCCCAGGGCCATGTCCAGACAGCTTTTGAATGTCTCCAAGGAGGAAGATATTCCCTTGAAATTCCTAATATACTTGATTGACAGCACATACCACCAAAACCTGGCACCAGTATGTTCTTAGCAGAGCTTTGTAAGAAGCGACTAAACCCTCTGCACCATCCAGGCTTTGAAGAAAAAACAGCTTAAAGGCTGCTAGCCCCATGATACTCCTGCTGCTGTATTCGTAGGGTGGGGGTAGGTTTGACTTTGTCCTTTCAGCCTTTACAGTGCAGTTTTTAATTATGTGATCTCACGCTCTGTCGTCTGCCGTGTTCAGGGAACCAGGCAGCAATGACTGCATTGGAAAAGCGGTCTTATTCTTCTGTGTTTAAGGCACTGTTCATATGGAGACCTCAATTCTCAACCTGGATGCACCATACAGTCCCTGTCTGATGCTAGGCAAGAGTAGCACAGTACTCATGTAGAAGCCAAATTTAGTTGTTAAATTGTTGGGAAACCTTTATTCTTTAACTCCCTAACTTGTGAATGCTTGATTTTGCTGCTTTGGGTTGTTTTACGATACCTTTTTAATAAGCAATTGCTTAACCTTATTGGGAGACATAAATGTCATTACCTTAGTACCTCAACATGTAATACATTTCTTTTGATTTGCATGAAGTCTTGTGAGTGATGAAATACACCTGGAGAACACCAGCAACCAGAGTCTTTTGTTTTGGTCAATGTTTGCCATCCCTTTAGAGTGTATCATATTTTATAGGTGATTTTACTTGAGTGCTCCTTAATAAACAACATAATGAATGCTGAGAGTTTCTCAGAGAAATAGTCCCAATTAAATATAGTTCTGAAAAGTTTATCCAATGTACTGTTTGGAGTTTTTTAAATTTATATGAACAATGCTACAGCAGAGGAGAAGCATATTGTATCAGAATCTGACGTGGTTGAAGTTAATGCTAAAACCAAAGGATTGTTGCCCTTAAAATTGTGTAAACGCTCATGCCCATTAGTCATAAAGTGTTTAGCGTGAGTGCTAGGAAATGAAAGCCACCGGTACCATTGTATCTATAAAGCTACATTACACTGAGGCATTGAGTGTAATTTGCTGGGTTTTCATGTTTGCGGTTTCTTATTAAAGTTGTTACAGTTTTACTATCAGCAGATTTCCAAGCTTGCTATATACATCCACAACTGGAATTGTTTCTCCACATTGTGTGTGTGTGTGTATGAGTGAGTGTGTACACATATAGACAAGTAAGATTTCTGAATTCTGCAGAACTCTTATAGACAGGTTTCAGTGATACAATGTTTATAAATGGGAAGAAAAAGACTTTTTGAAAAGCATTGGCAGCATGATGATTATAAAGGGAGAGTTTTGGAAGGTTTTTTTGTGCTGCTGTGTAAAACTTCAGACAATCCCAGTGCAAGAAATGCTAGTTTATGTTTTCTGTTTTTTTTTTTTAACTACAGATCCATTACCACCACCTCGTTTTGAAATTAATAAGGAAAAAACTACACTCACAAGCTTGCAGGTTCAGTGGGATCCTTCCTCAGGAAAGGTGGACTTGTATAACCTAGTATTATTTGATCACGATAATAAAAAGATACAAGAAGTCTCCGTACCAGGAAGAATTTCAAAAACAGAAAATACTTTTTCTAGTCTCATCCCTGGGAATAAATACAACATTGTCCTCAGTGCAGTTGCTGGAAATAAGAGTACCCCGAAACTTTACATAAGCGGATCTACTGGTAGGACTTCTTTTACTGTAGTTCATCTAAATAAAACCATTTACGGTATTTTGCAGTTCTGCATTTTGAAATTAACAAATATATATAATTCTTCTACCTGGCAAGATAGATATATGTAAGTATCTACTGATTATAAGTAGAAATAAACAAAACATGAATCTCTGACTAACATAGAGGGTTGTTTGCTAAGAATGGAGGCATGTTGTTATGGTGTATTTGGACATAAATTTGGGGTTGCGTTTTCACTAACCCTAAAGAAACTCAACATATTTCAAAAGTAAATCTGTTCAAAATTGCTGAAATTGTGGAGATAACCATTAGGCCTTAAGCATGTGTTTTTTATTCCAACAGTGCCATCCCCTGTGAAAAATATTCAGGTCAGTGTCAAGACAGACACTATCCATGCTTCATGGTCTCCTGGCTCTGGACACGTGGATCGTTACAGACTGGTGTTACTGGATAATCATGTCCCAGTTCATGAGATTCACGAAGAAGATCCTCTGACCTCCTACACTTTTTCAGGACTTACAGCGGGCCACCTGTATAACCTCTCTATCATAACCCAGGCTGCAGGATTGGAGAGCAGCAGTTTTCAAATCGTCAGGACAGGTATGATTTCAGAATTCGTCACAACAGAACAAGAAGCTAAGGCCATAATCTAATAATATTACAGGACATATTTCAGAATAATAAATGATTCATGTTCCAAGTGTATATTCCCAGGCTTCAGCGGCTGAATTAACTTTGGCAAGTGTTTCTCTCCAAAGGCTGTAGCGGGAGTTAGAGACACCGTAAGCTTATTTAGCTCCCTAAGTTAGCACTGCAGCAAAGTTAGTGGCTAAATTAGCTTGTAGGGTGTCTGCAGCTAATTTAGCTGCACTACTTAATGTAGGCAGCTCCATTAAACATGTAAAGTTAGGTGTTAACAACCTGAGCCCAAATGCCCTAGTATCACCTCATACCTGTGAAAGAGGTTCATCTGACTCCTGTATGAACTTCTTCAGTGAATTGTGGCAGAGTGTAGTCTGGTTACTTCACAATTCTGAAGGCAGTTTAACTCCATGATTCTTACTTAGCTGAATGGGAGATGTAGAGCTTGTGAGTTTTGCAAACAAATATTTTCAGCAAAATAGCTACACCTCTGAGAAGAAAGTGAAAAAAATGTAGAGCAGGTGAAGAACTTTAAAATTTAATGTTGGGGTTTTGTTGTTTTGGTTTTTTTTCCCAGAGAAGTATTGATTCACAGAACAGAGTTTTAGAAATGAAGTTTTTTTCAGGAAGCTTTTTCAGGATAGAGTTCTGTGGTCACAGAGAGAAAGATAAGATGACATGCTACTGGAGTCCAATGGTTAAAACACTCATGTAAGCAAAAACAGGGTCATGCCTTTGCATGACCCTTAATTTCTGGGAAATGTAAGGTGCAGTTTCTCTTACAGAAAGCTCACCATGTAGACATAATTTAATATTAAGTGAACAATATTGTGTCTCAGGCACATAGATGAATGCAGTTGTCACCAAGCACTGGCTGTTCTGGGGATTATACTCTTGTTTCATTTTATTTCTTCAGAATTTTTTATTTCTTCCTGTTGTGGGATGCAAAAATTTTAAATCTCACAGGTTTTCTCGGAACATAAAAGCACTCCATCTAGCTTGCAGCATGATTCTCTATTTCAGTACTTAGTGTGCCACAAGCCTGAGAAACTAAGATATTGGAGATGGCTATGCTTTTCTTTTGATGGAGCATTTGAATAAGGGAGTGTGATTCCAATCCCCTCTACACTGGTGTAAATCAGGCATAGGTCCAATGATGCTGTAGTGTTTACCAAAATGTACGCAGGCATCTCTGTTTGTAGGAGCATGTATCTGGTCTGTTTTATAGTCAACATGACTAGTGTGAGTGCAGACATGGCTAACAGATTTTCTATTCCGTGAAACAAGAGTGGGTGTCATAAGAGGTGTCACTCAGCAGTAGAATATCTTAAAACAGGACTTGGTTCAGTTTCACTTGGACCAGGCTTTGCCCTTTCACTGTTGAGGCACAGTCATTCATACTCCGTCTCATATTCAAAAGCAAAACTTAACTATCACAGTTTGGAGGCAGCACGTCTTATATGTTCTGTGGTGGAAGTATTTTATTCTCTTTCTTGTTTTCTTTCCTTAGCCCCAGCTGAAGTCTTAGATTTGACGGTGACTAATGATGACAGCGTAGATGCTTTAAAAGTTAAGTGGAGAAGACCTGCAGGAAACCTCAATTTCTATAATATCACTCTGTCTCATCTTGGATCAGTTAAAGAAGTCAAAACCGTACAGCCACCGGTCACAGAGACTCACTTTGACAAGCTAACTCCAGGACGTCTTTATCAGGTTACTGCCCGCACAATCAGTGGTGAACTGTTTACTGATCGGGTGGCAACTGGCAGGACATGTAAGTCTTTTGCTTCAGTGAGAACGTTGTAACCAATGCTATTTTTGCCTACATTGGCCTTGTAGAAAATCATTGTAGGAAACAAAATGACTTGGATTCCAGGCAAAATAAGATAAAGAGCACAATATTGTTCCGGGAGTACCCCTTCCTGACTCTGGCAACAGTTAATCTGGCAGCCAAAAGCAACTCCAGCATAGTCTGGGAGCAGGAAACAATAATGCATTTTGGACCTTGTAGTTGGGTGAGTCTGTAACAAAACTGTTCCACACTACTGCACTTCTGACCAACTTTGTTGTCTTGAATTCAACTCAGCATAGTATATAAAACGAGTTACATTATGGGGAAATCTGAATGTAGCCAAATTGTTAACAGATTTTTAAGTAATTTTGCAAGGTCTAATATTATCCCCTGCTTCAGACACAAATCTACAAATAGGAAAAGATTAGGTCTCGGCTTTCTTTACTGCCAACAGCGTAGCTTAAGGAAGGCATATGGCAGTCTGGGTAGAGCTGGGTTGTGGTTTTTTTATTTATTTTCTTTCAGAAGTACAGTTTTCTTGCCAGTATCTCTCATATGAGTTCTGAACCTGAAAAATCCTGGCATAATTCTCCCACAGCATTACTGGCCACAAAGGTGTGTCATGTTCTCCACACCAGCCTAGCCCAGACACAATTTAGATGGGAAAAAATATGTAAGTGGGTGAAAAATACATACATAAATTGTTAGACTCAGAGCCAAAAAATATAAAATGTGTGTGTGAGAAAGAGAGCAGAGTATTTATTGTAGATAATATTTATGATCTACAACTAGATGTCTCATATGAAAGGCACATCCTTGCCATATCTAGCTGCTACTCCATTCTCAGTGCAGGCTGGAAGAGACCTGAAAAGCCTTTCATGTCCACTAAGTACAAAGCTGGACTGGTTAGATGCATGTCTTTTTTGTTTGTCTAGCCTACCATTAAAGAGCTTTAAGATTACCATTTCCATCTGAAGGGAGAGCTTCAGGCCCTCACTCAAACCACTGATCCCCAAATTTGTGACCTAGACCCAGTACTTTCAAAGTTGGGGATCTAGAAGTCCCATTTCCAAGGATGCTGATCATGTGCAATTCCTTCCCTTGACTTTTCCATAGATAGCAAGAGCTCTGAAAACAGAGTCACTTCAGCAGCAGCTGTGTGGCCTAAAGATAAATTTGTAAATCCAGGCTGTCCGGTCTACAGATATTGAAGGGGTTAGACTCTTGGGATCCCTCTGTAACTCACAGAGAGAGCTGGGTGCCCAAGAGCATAATACACATTGCTGTGTATTGAGAGGGTGCCTACGGCAGCAGAACCTGCTGAGGAATGTTGTGGTAAGGAATATGGACATCTCAGGGACTGAAACTTTGTACCATAAGGATGTAATGATGTCCAGCCAGTCTGACAAGGCTGAACTCTATGATGTAAGTACATCTGTGCTTCCTAACAAAACACTGTCTGCTTTTATCCACTCACTCAGCAATTGAAACACATCTCCCATATTCAGTGGCATGTGGGAGATCTAGATTTGATATCCAGCTATGCCTGTGGGAAGTGAAACTGCTAAGTATTTTGTGGTGCTGGTAGAAATCTCTCAATCCTTTGCTAGGTACTGAGCAATTAAATATTAACTAAGCCAGAGAAAGCATGAGAGCATGATTCTAGCCTTGTAGTTTATAGTTAATACTTGCTGATGCTTCCAATGCTGATCTCTGAGTATCTTAACACTAAGCTATAGGTACCCTAACCTAAGGGTCTGCATCTGTCTTCCAGTCTCTGCCTGGTGTGGTTAATATTTAATTATTTCGTGAAAATCAGAAAAGCCTCAGTGGTCCAGGGTGACCTGCAGCAGTAGGGCAGGAAGATTAAGCATGTAAATTCAGGACCCTTGAAGTGGAGGACAGGACGGAGCGGATGCTTTAATGGACCTCAGTTTGAACCTCAGTGCCTTACAGCTGGGAGGGAGTAGGACGTACAAGGCCTTTGTGGAAGAAGCCATCAGACTTTGCATTTCTGCTGCTGAGACCAGAATTTGGCCCATAGAGATTGAAGTTTTGGCCTTAGCTTTGAAAAACTGATTGACAGTTTCTAAGTGAACTTAAGTCCAGGAAGCAACTGGGAAGCTAACTGGAAACTGCAAGATGCATCCAAGAAGTGCATGGGGGAGATTTTGCCTGCCCTAAGAAGGGTTCCCCATATCTGATGGCAGAAACCAACAGTGAAAAAGTGAGTCGTTTGTGTGGGGAAGAGTAAAAGCTATCTTTGAAATGAATGCCAGCCTTGGTAACAAGATACCTCACGTTGCTCTAACTGATTCAAATACTTCTGCAATAGCTATGCTGCGAGACGGGTTTTGCCAGTCTGCAGTTAGGTCTTACCAGAGATACCCCACTTCAAAATTACTCTCTCAATCTCTGTATTTCAGTTCCCCAGAAAGTTTCTGCGCTGAGAGCCAGTGGTGGTGGCTGGCTGAGGTCTCTGCGAGTGAAGTGGCTGCCCCCTGCGGGAGACTGGGAGAGGTACCGCCTGCTCCTGTGGAACCGCTCGGCCCTGGTGCTCAACACCACCCTGGAGAAGGACACCACGGAGTACGTCATCCACGACGTGGGCCTCATCCCGGGGAGGCAGTACGACGTGGACGTCATTGTGGAGAGTGGCGATTTGCAGAGCAAGACTAGCTGCACGGGGAGAACAGGTCAGCGTGCTCGTCCGGGAAGTGGGAAAGTGCAAAATGTTCAGCTTGGCTCTGTGGACAATCATAAAGAAATAGTACTTGGGAATCCACAGATGAATGTCACTATTAATACAGTAAAGAGGACCTCCCATGTGAAAACCAGAAATAATTATTTTTAGCAGTTTTATGAAAACTTCCAGGATTATTTTTGTGGTAAATGTATTGTTAATGAAAGCTTTTGGAATTATATCACCATTCTGTCATGACTGAGGCATAACACTACATGTATAACATTTCACTGTTAGATTTTGTAGCTGATTGCAGGCACCCTATATAGTTCCTTAAAGAGAGCAATATAGATTTTCCTGTGTTGTTCATCAGTGTATTCAGTGGCAAACTGGTTTACTTGCCAGCTTGTATAACTAATTAGTATCAACAGCATTAACCAAAACTGGCTGAGGTGTATGTTAGTGTGGCTGTTCCAAAACGTCCCAATTCTGTTCCTGTGCTCCAGAAATAAAATGGGGCTAGCCAGTTCAAGTGAGCCTTTCCAAAGGAAATCCATATACTCTGCAGTGACATTACTGGAATTCTTTTGGAGCATGCTAGTCAAAGCCACATCTGCTTGCTTCAAACTTAAAAAATGGTTGCAATATATTTGTTAATGGTTCTGCTCTGTGAATGCAAAAGAAGTGCAATTCAGAGGATAAGAAGACTTGGAGGAGGAGTATCAGGCAAGACTCAAGCCTGAGCCTTATCTCACAGGAGAATGTGAGATAAGATAGGGCCGCCCTACTTTATCCTCACACTTCCTGGTGCTCGCCTTTCCTGCTACACCCTTACCTGTCATTCCCTGAGGGCTTCGTTTTTCTGATTTTGCACAATGGCAAGACCAGTGGACGCTACAAAACTGAAGCTTTCTCTAACTTCTAGCCAACTTGATCAGAGGAAGGCAGATTCTTATTTTGCTTACTTTGATATACGTTACAAATAATTTAAGTTTATGGTGTTACTTTTAATTGATACAGCTAAGTGATTAGAACATAGTCCAATAAATAATACCCAGCAGTGGGTGTATCACAATTTGACCCACAGTCAGGTTCATAATGTACCTGTTATGAAGCATAGGTATTAGACCCTATTCTGACTTAATTCTCTCTTACGTAAACCCACAGTCTTGGAAAGTGAGTTGGATTTCAGTGTAACAGGGAAGAAATCAGATCAGGGGACTACGTTAGGTAACACATGAACACACACAGAATTTCACCGATCAAATTCTTTCTTTTATACCTGTTGCGGTGTAACCGGCAGGCAGCTAAACAGCACACAGCTGTTCGCTCACTCCCCCCACAGTGGGACGGGGGAGAGAATCAGGAAAAAAAAAGTAAAAGAATATACAAAATAAGTGGTGCACAATGTAATTGCTCACCACCCGCCGACCGATGCCCAGCCAGTCCCCAAGCAGCAGTCACCGCCCCCCGGCCAACTCCCCCCTGTTTATATACTGAGCATGACGTCACATGGTATGGAATATCCCTTTGGCCAGTCTGGGTCAGCTGTCCTGGCTGCGCCCCCTCCCAGCTTCTCACTGACAGAGCATGAGAAGCTGAAAAGTCCTTGATTTAGTGTAAGCACTACTTAGCAACAACTAAAACATCAATGTGTTATCAACATTATTCTCATCCTAAATCCAAAACACAGCACTATACCAGCTACTAGGAGGAAAATTAACACTAGCCCAGCCGAAACCAGGACAATACCACTCCAAAGTTTGGAGTGTCTCCCAGCTTCACTGAGATGAGAACCAGTGCAAAATCAATGTCACTCTCACCCTGTAATTTGCATCCTTGTTTGTTACAGCTAAATTGGTGTAGATCTGTTTTATGGTACAAATGTTTTATATCCCTGTCTAGCACCCGCAATTCAAGAGGAGGCTCACTGATTTCACTGCATTTCCATTCGTACTAAAATATATATCCTGGCATAAGTATAAACCTAAGCATTACAGCCATAATGCATTGCTGAAGTCTGCTGCTACAGCCCTTTACTGGAAGAGCAGCACAAATAATAGATTTGTAAGATTGGCTTCCTAGAGAAAGGTAAAGAATCTCCTCTTGATTACAAATACTCTGTTGCTGTAACATTTCTATCTTACAGAACAGATTCCTTACAGCAGCTTGAGATACGACACGTGTGTTCACTACGAAGTCCTGTTCTCATTGTGATATTTGTGCGCATTTACAGCTCCAGAGTCTGTTCTCCAGCTTCGTGTGAAGCATGCTAATGAATCTTCACTTAGTGTTATGTGGATGACCCCTGTTGCGGAATGGGACAGCTATGTGGTTTCACTGGGAGACGGGTATCTTACTGTCATAAAAAAGGGGCTTGCAAAAGAAGCTAAGGAATACACTTTCACTGACTTGGTACCTGGAAGAAAGTATACAGTTACCATCATTACCATTAGTGGGATTTTAAGCAACTGGACTTCAGTGGACGGAAGAACAGGTAACATCCTCTCAAACTATTTTAATCTGTACTTCTGTTAACCATTAACAATTTTCTTTGCTTTGTAGTGAACTGAATGAACACAGCGTCTAAATATCAAAAGTCTTGAATTTACATTTGTTTCTTCAATAGAAAAGTTATGTTTCTGAGTCTCTCTTTTCTAACTGTCCATTATCTCGCAGTATTTATTTAAGGTTTTGGGGAAATGGCTATGTAATTCTCAGCAAAACAGTTTTCTGAAATGTTATGTCACATCTGATCAATCTACATTAGCACAAGATTCCATATAAAAAGAACAATTTTCACTGGGTATCTTCAGGAAGGTCACTTCCTTGATTCAAAGCATTCATCATCTGGAAAAAAAAAAACACCACCACACAGGAAAATGTTGCTTTAGGGGGAACATTCCGAGGTTGACAGACACAAAACATATGTGACCTTGAAAATGTATTTTGAATCTCTCCGCTCTTCTGATTCCAAAATCTGTATCTGTTACTTAGGATGATGACTGCAACAAAAGGAAGGTCCCATTCCCACCCCCTGCAGGGTGCTAATTTTGTGCACGTGTACAAGTTTTAAACCATATAAGTTGCTTTACTCTGCTTGACTTATGCATTCTTCAGTGCAAGCAAAGTCTTAAAACATAGCTCTGGTCTGGCACAGCACAGAGAAAAACAAGCTGCTAGTGTATGAATCTAATCATGCCTATGGCTTGATAGTGGTCCTTACTAAAGTGTTGTAACTCCTTCCAGGGCCTGAAAAGTTTGACTTACACTTTCATTTCTCTGCTATGTGATTAGATAGCTGGGATTTCACTTCCTTCTGCCTTACACCCCTTTAGGAGGCCTATTCAGGCATAAAGGTTACAGTGTCCCACTTCACTAGTATGAATCAATGCTTGAAAACACATCAGACAGGGATAGTGTGTCAGCGTTACATTCAAAGGGATGAAGAACGAACATCAACGAATTTGAGTGTAGGTCTTAATAAGCATTCCAGACCTCTGAATCTTCTTTTCAGTAGGACAACCTACTGGGCTTGCAAAATATTGCTGTAAATATGACAGAAATAGGTCTTACATGCTTCTCAGATTGGTCAGATTCCAGTGAAGCCTGAGGTGTCACTGAAAGTGCCTTTAGCATAGGAATCTGGCACTTCTGTTTCTTGTTGGACCTTGCTATGTCATGACAGTATTATAAAATGGGTGGGATTTTTCATTCACTTTTATATGAATGTTACGTTTTTTCAGCTATGTGCCTGTTTTTCTAGCTTTTGTTAATGAATGCTAATCCAGTACTATGTGTGCAAAAAGGTTGACATAAAACAAGAGATGAAGCTCGCAATCACATTTTGTTAAGTTAAAGGGTTCTTTATTTCAGTTGTGCTTGGTCATGTAAGCAGAAATACTTAGAAAGAAGTAACTATTTCCTTGCTTTGACCAAATATTGCCAAATAAATAATTTAAAAAAAAAATATTTGGGTAAAATTTGTGCTAGATATTCCATTCCTTTCCGTTCTTTCTTTTTCTTTTTTGGTCTGGGTAAGTTTACCAGCTTGTACTTAGATAAATGTCGTGTCAGTTTGACAATTAATTAATCTTTTGATGCTAGAAAAGTTAGTGTCCTGCAGATCTTCTGACGTAAAAAGTAAAACCAAAACCATCCACCTCAGTTACCCACAAAATTAAAGGGTCTGACACTTCTCTGAGGTATAGATGACTGTGCCTGAGGTATTCATCAGACTAGTTTGCCATTTAATAGGAATGAGAGATGGGGAGTAGGAGAGGAAAGGGAGAATGAAAGACACAGACTGTATTAGAAACAGTCATCACAAAACCAAGTGATTTCCTAAATTGATGGCTTTTGTTTAATAGTATTTATAAAATGCTGTCTCTTCCTGTTCACTGATCTTGAATCATTTTGGTCTGACTGAGAAAAGCTGTGCTAAAGCCTGCAAGACCTTTCTGTGCCTTAGATAGTTTCCCATAGACCACATCCCATCAGACAGGAAGCAGTCCACAGTTAGATTATTTTTAGTCCTGTTGAGTCTGGCTGCAAATTGGAATGTTCTTTTGATGCACTTCCTCAGTGTGACTAAACTTGGGTTATTTGGGAGATTTTGTTTTGGTTTATTTTATTTCTCCTCAGTAACATGATGACAATTTTTTTTTGCAGTGCCAGCCCAAGTGACTGGTCTGACCGTGGCAAGTCAGGGATCAACCAACAGCTTGTTCACCAACTGGACAAGGGCGCTGGGAGATGTGGACTCATACCAAGTGCTACTGATTCACGAGAATGTTGTCATTAAAAATGAGACTGTTCCCAGTGAAACCAACAGATACCACTTCTATCCCCTGAAACCTGGAGGACTCTATTCAGTTGTTGTCACCACTGTCAGTGGGGGGATATCTTCAAGGCAAACAATCGCAGAGGGGAGGACAGGTAAAAAGGAAAATGCTCCAGCATCTCTTTTGTCAGTTCCTAAAAGCTGAATTGATTACATAGAATGGTCTTGTGATTAAACCACTGGGCTGAGAATTTAGATACACAGGAGTTTCAGCCATGTAATTCCTGGGTGTGACCTCAGGCACACTGTGGGTCCAGATTCATGTTAACTTACCTTTAGGGAGCTAACTGCTCTGCCTACAACAGGAACTCTGTACAGCAGGGTCGCTCTGTAGTGAAGACAGAAATATGCCCTGAGAGTGATGTACGGCTGTGGTGGGTGAATCACTCCTTGGAAGGGACTTTCTTGTTCAATTGGCTAGATGGCAGCACAGGGTGATTGCTCCTTACTTAGGTGTGCAAATTAGCTGCCTAAAGGTGGTGGGATGAATTTGTGTCTCAGTTTCTCATGACCCATTCTTTTTCTCCAGTCCAACATTGGAGAATGTCCACCAGGATTAATTATTCATTATGAGGCCCTTCTATACTGCATAGGACAGGATTTACTATTGCATCAAATTCTGTAAGTTTAATGACTCATGAAACGTAATACCAGTCCTTTGAATATTTAAATAGAGGGAAAAATTGACAACACAGTGCAATTTCACCCTTTATGTGAATTTGGTGAGGGCCAGGCATTCTGCAGTTTGCTCCAATGTTCTCCTTGAAAACAACTATTTTCAGGTTAAAAAAAACCCAACAAAACACAACAACAAAACAACTGGAGAAAAATAACACGAAAAGGCTTAAAGTACATAGACATACTTTGTAAAATCTTCTAGTATTTTTGAATCTGACAGCTGATGGGCAGCCCCTCTGCTTACCTACTGAGGTTAAGTCAGTTCAGTGCATGAGTCCAGTGAAATCGTGTCAGTTCGTAATGATTAAGATCTGCCCCTGTAATAACTCTGACAATTTTGTACCTGAGTGATCGTGGTTCTGGTAATGTGGAGCCTTTGAGCTCACCTTGCAGGCTTGAAAAACAAATTGTATTCATGTTTTGGCCACTAGGCGTCAGAGAACTCATTCTAAATGAAACACATTCTGCTATGGGCCTCAGCTTCATACAAGCCTCAGTAGTTATTGCTATTACTGATGAAGGGCAATTTGAGAGGATAACTCATCTTCTGGGATTTTAGAAATGCTGGGATCATGCCACCAAAGACAATTTCCTTCACTATATTCCAAAAAGCTGATGAGGGCTGCTGAGTGGGAGTCGGTGCAGAGCTTCTCAGGATTTCCAGACTGCTTATTTTGCACGGTGGCGTTCTGGGCGTTCTCACAAGAATAGGAATTGGCTAGTTAAAGCTCTTCTGTTTTTTCCTCTTTGTTGCACAGTTCCTTCCAGCGTGACTGGAGTAACAGTAAATAACTCAGGTCGCAGTGACTACCTCAGTGTTTCTTGGCTGCCAGCTTCTGGAGATGTAGACAATTATTTGGTAACACTCTCTCACGATGACCAGATTGTTCAGACTCTCACCATTTCCAAATCCCTCAGTGAATGCTCCTTCAGCAGCCTTACTCCTGGGACGCTTTACAATGTGATGATAACCACAAAGAGTGGGAAGTATGAAAATTATTCTTTCAGCCAGGAACGAACAGGTAAGAGAGCCTCTGAGAGAACACAGTCACCATAAACACTTTATATAGTCATTATCAATGATCTATCAATATCTGACTAAACTGGGATGGGTGAGTAGGGGTTGTAGGATCAAACCATAAAATTGCAGCTTTACAGACTTAGTCTTATTCTTATGCCCCTCCTGCTGCTTTATGTCATACAAAATTACTTCAGCATGAATAAAAATCATGTGTCAGTGAGCAGAAATCATGTATCAGTTTTGGCTCAAATGCATTTTCCTGCCCTTAACCCCTCTACTTGGCTCTTCAAGTATATCAAGGGGTAATGGTTTTAAACTAAAGGAGGGTAGATTTAGACTGAACACAAGGAAAACATTTTTCACAATGAGGGTGGTGAAACACTGGAACAGGTTGCCCAGAGAGGTGGTAGATGCCCCATCCTTGGAAACATTCAAGGACAGGCTGGATGGGGCTCTGAGCAACCTGATCTAGTTGAAGATGTCCCTGCCCATTGCAGGGGGGTTGGACTACATGACCTTTAAAGGTCCCTTCCAGCCCAAACCATTCTATGATTCTGTGATCCTGCAGAGCATCCCCCCAAAAAGTTACTCAAACACTGAAAGTACGGGGTAGGAGCTAACTACTAAAATATTAATACGGTGTCGCCTAAATGAGTATCATCCATGTCTGTTGGTTTTGGTCATGTAACACCCACGTCTATGGTTTTGGTCATGCAGTGTTCCAGGAGATTGTAACAGGAATAGAGATATTTCAGAGAAGGGTGCCAATAATGATGGAAAACTTCTTAAAACTTCCTCAAAGATTGAAAAGACTGACACTTTACACTCGGTAAACCAGTAGGATAAAAGAAAGATGGTAAGGGGTGTTAAAATGACAAAGAGTATTAAGTTAGTGCAATTTGAGTCTTCTCATGATGTGAGTGAAAATCCAAGGGACAGACATTTGAATGAGGAGAAGCAAATTCAGGACTAGTGTGAACCTGTGGAACTCACTGCGATAAGCAAAACCATTCCAAAGTTCCAAAAGACCAAAAATTGGAAAGGCAAACTATTGTCATGTGACGTAAAGCAGGCTGGAAACTGCAGAATTACTATTTTAGAGGGTAGGGTATTGCTTAAATTCACGTTGTGGTCTTTTTGCAACTTCCTCAGGAACGTCTGGTAATTACCACAAGTATAGTCCACTACAGCAACTCCTGTTACTTCAGGAAGTTATGGCCTTCTGAATCTTTAATTGTGTTTTTTTCTTTCAGTCCCTTCAAGTGTTCAGGGACTTACTGTCAGCAATTCAGCCAGAAGTGACTACTTGAAGGTGTCCTGGTTACATGCCTCTGGATATTTTGATAATTATGAAGTGATCATCAAGAACAACAATGATTTCATCCAAACAAAAAGTGTCCCAAAGGATGAAAATGAATGTGTGTTCACTAATCTGGTCCCAGGGAGGCAGTACAGTGTCACAGTCAGCACAAGGAGTGGGAAATACGAAACAAGTGAAAGGGTCTATGGCAGAACAAGTAAGTAAATACCCCAGAAACATCCTAAGACACTGCAGGATTTTTTTCTGTTTACCATATCCGGGCTCAAATATCTCATATGATTTTAACATAGAATGATCATTTCCTATTTACCATATCTAGGCTCAAAAATCTCATATGATTTTAACATAGGATGTTAAGTGTGACTCTGACTGTGTGTCATTCCAAATATAGAAAGCAGTATTTAGTTTATGACCGGTGTTCAAGTTGCAGACATACAGAAAGTGAAAGAAGAGACCTGTGCTGTGAACTTGGAAAGCAAATCTTGAAACATGGAAAACTGAAAAACAGTTGTACAGATTTCCACATAAGCTTAGTATTTGTGCTTAAATTATGCCAGAATGTACAAGACAGTTTTTTCTGGTCATGGAAATGTATAAGGAAGAAGATAGGCTAGACCTCACACTACTCAAATTACCCAAAGAACCGGAGTTGGAGAGCATGGGGCAAGAGTGGTAAGGTGGCTAGTTGTGAGCCTGCAGGGATCTGGATGCAATCTGCCTGTCCTCACCTAGCACTACATGTAAGCTAATGAGCCATGCTAAGAAACCAAGTTTATTAACACAGATGTAGCACTGGGCAAAAATAATTGACCTGCATTTGGCAGGAGTTGGGAACTGCACAGTGTGGTGCTGCATCACATAGACGGCTTGCCTTGCGTCTCCACTAGCTCATGCCTCTTTGCACCACATTTGTTGTACATGCAGATCCTACTCAATTTTTGTTGGCTATGCAAACTCCCTGCAGGCTCCATTATTATTCGTTTTATTATTTTTATGCTGATAGATTGTAGAGTCCCTGTTCTGACATGGGACCTTCCAGTGTTGGATATGGTGCAAACCACAAAGAGCAACCCTTGCAAATAAGTGCAGTCTACTGCTTTTCCTAGGGAACTGAATGAAAAGTTTTAGCTCAGGAGCTGTTACCTTTTTGCTGTGATCTCATAATAAGTACTGAGAAGTTTTCTATCTTTCTTCTCACCTCTTCAGTGCCAGAGTCAGTGAAGGAACTGACTCTTAGTAACAGAAGCACAGAAGATCTGCAGGTAACTTGGTCAAAGGCTGAAGGGGATGTTGATAAATATGAGATTCAGCTCCTCTTCAATGATATGAAGATCTTCCCACCCATTTTCCTTGGGAACACTGTTGAGGAGTATTGGTTCACAGCTCTGACTCCAGGACGTCTGTACAAAATTCTTGTCTTGACAATCAGTGGAGATGCACAACGTGCTACTTTCATAGAAGGCCTGACAAGTAAGAAATAACGTGGTATTTAAAATGTGTTGAGGCTTCTCTAGAGGAAAGAATGAGGCACAGAAAATCAAGGGAGAACCATGATCTTATTTGAGGTCCTGTAACACTGTCACAAAGATAGCAGATCTCTTTGAAAATCACAGTAGTACTTCAGCCAACTTGATCTGTGCTTAATAAATAAATGTTACAGCCACCAATATTTGATTATTGGCAGATAATTTGACTTGTTGCATTGGAATGGTATGGTGATGTCAGTGTTTGGGTTTCTTGTTATTCCCATGCATGCCAGTTGTTTGGTTAGTATCTGTAGCTAAATCACTTAAGCTGTTTTACACCTCTGTTTACCCACCTGAAATGAATGGGTGAGATTATAACTGCAAAATGCCTAATTAAGAGGTAAAGAGCTTTGATTTTCTGAGGTGTTTCTAAAGCATCATTCAGAGAAGAGGGAGGTTATCCAGATAAAAGAATATACAAACTTTTTTTCTGTTTAACTTACATTTTCTTTATTTTTCTTCCTGTAAACACATAGAATTGCTCTTCTAAACTGGCATGATCCTACACAAATGCCTTCAGCTTTACTTGTGTTTACCCGTGAGTGAAATTACTTGTACCTGTAAATGCTCTTTGTCCTTTGAATAATTTTCTGTGGCCATAAAAAAGTAGGAATTAAAAAGTCTGAATCAAACAGGAAATTTGTGAGCAGGTGCCTTTGTGTTCCTTTTTTTTTCCAGTTCCAAGTGCAGTCAGAAACATTCATGTGTCACCTAACGGCATGACGAACAGCCTGAAAGTGAGCTGGACTCCTGGAGGTGGAGATGTTGATTCCTACACAGTGACTATATTTCAGCAAAACCATCAGCTTGATTCCCAGAGTGTCTCCAAACACGTCTCTGAGCACATGTTTCACAAGTTGGAAGCTGGGGAGCAGTACCGGGTGGTGGTGCAATCTAACAGTGGCACCTTGCACAACAGCTTAGCAGCTTTTGGGAGAACAAGTACGTTTCTTTTGAGATGAGGAGCAAGTTGCATTATGTCTTCCCAGAAGCAGACCCTCATTTAATAATGTTAATGAACGTACCATTGCGTATGGGGAGACCAGACTCACGAGAAGTTTTTACCTCAAAGAGCGTGAATCCTCACTCTTGCAAACACTGAGGCATGGCTCTGTTAACATCAGTGAGATCTGTCATATGAGTAGCTTTACCTGGGTAAATGTGTGTGGAATTCAGGCCGCCAGCCCAAAGTGTGCCTTCATAGGATGAAGGCAGTTCCAGCCCTCCCCAGTCCTGTGCCTGTACCCATCCGACACATACATCGGCAGGGCTCCATGTAGTCAAATACTGTGTTCTAGCAGAGCCTGTTGCATGGTCAGGCTTGTTAGACAATGTATTGCACCAATATGCTGCGTTTCAGGACGCACAAACAGTTGAACACCTTGTTTTTAATCCATCCTCTCTCTTTAGCACCTGCATGTGTTTGCTGTGGCCTTGACTTTTGTGGAACAGCTGCTGGCTAACGTTTTTTATTCTGTGCCGCTATTTTGCACCAATTTACCACTTCTTTATTTTTCAGTTCTTTTTCACATGCCTTTCTTAACTGTTTCGGTCAGTATATCTCACTCTCCTTCTCCCTTTTTTCATGATAATTTATGTATATCACTTGCTTCGCCATGCCCAGTTCAGATGTCCATGATGCTCTGTAACTTCATCTGATTGTATTTATGTCTAGGAATTATTTGCTTCTGCAAACACATGCACAGATATCCCTTTTCCCACAGGTGAACATGCAAATGTATAAAGATATTCTCTATTAATTACTCTATTCACAGCTGTGTATTGAATGGTCTGTATTTCCCCTGGTAATGTCCTGCCTTTCATTTTTGCCTCCAGTTCCAGCCTCTGTCCAGGAATTATTAGCCCATCATGCTTACAGCAGTCATTCCTTGTTAGTAACCTGGCAGAAAGCTCCTGGTGTAGCTGAAAGATATGACATTCTGCTCTTGAATGAGCAAGGAATCCTCCTGAGCAACAAATCAGAGCCAGCTACTGCCAAACAGCACAAATTTGAAGATTTATTAGCCGGCAAGAAGTATAAAATACAAGTTTTGACAGTCAGTGGCGGGCTCTTCAGTAAGCGAGCAGAAACTGTTGGTCGAACAGGTAATTAGAACATCTCTATTTATAGCTCCCTCAGTCAGATATCATTAAATACATGAATCATCTGTATACCCTGATTCTGGAAAGATTCCAGTAGGAGCAGACCTCAGATATTGATGCATCATTTTTCCTGATATGTGCTTGGTATGCGAATCTGAAATCTGTTAGCATAATAATGTGGCCATAGTTCATAATAAGGATATTGAACCAAAGTGCTGGATGCTTCCACCAGTCTATCTGTTATGGAATCACCTGAATGCTTTACTGTCATCAAGTTTTTAATTCACAATCTCAAGGCTCTCAGTGCAGGATTTGACATTAATACACACCTCTAAACTGAGAGCCGAGTCTTGTAGTCTTTACTCAATTAAAGCTTCTTGTAGAAACTAATGGACAGTTCTGTGTGAGCACAGGCTGGAGAACCAAGCCTGCTGGGAAATACAAACATTGTATTGGAGAGACTTAGTGGCACCTCATAAATGCCTTCCTATTGCTTCTGAAAGTTGATGTTGACATTACTTAGCTACTTGTGGCTTAATTGAAATGTATTCCAGTCATGAGTTGTTACTTTATTAAAGGTTCAGCTTAGTGGCTAGACACTTTGATATTTACTCTTGCATTTATCCTTCTTTTCAGTTCCAGCAGCTGTCACAAATCTGAAGGTCACAGAGAACACCACTGACCGACTGTCCTTCAGCTGGACCACCTCACAAGGGGAGCTTGATTCATATGACATCTTCCTATACAACCCAGACAAGTCCCTTCATGACAGGATTTCAGGAGAGCAGCACCTCCAGAAATGTTCATTCCAGAACCTGCGGCAAGGCAGGATGTATCGAATGGTGATTGTTACCCACAGCGGAGACCTCACTAATGAGTCGTCTGTCTTTGGAAGAACAGGCAAGAACATCTAAGAAAATCACCCGTCTCAAGTGTGATGCTAATGAGAGACACCAGTGAGCTGGTCTGAGTCTGATGTTCATGCTAGATTAGGGCAACTATTAGAAATACCAAAATTGGCTCTTATAGTTGAAAAGCGTTAGATAAAGAAGGTGGTAAATTCTGAATGTTGTGGTTACAAGAGGAAAAATGAAGGAATAGTTCCCCGGTACTCAGGTCAGGAGAAGGACATCCCCATGTATGCTGCATAAGACTGAAAGGAAAACAGCTGTCTCCCATCCTAGAAGCAATATTGGTCTATGAGTGGAAAAGACAAAAGACAAAGCAAGTAGGGTTAATGGGGCAGACAATCTACCAGTGAAGTAAAACTAGTTTCCCATGGGGAGCTCTGGCTGCAGCTCCATGTTTGTTTAGCCACACCTGGGAAGCAGAGTTTCCTAAGCAGTTCTAGCAGCCCTGACACTCTGTGAAACCTTTCTTTATCCTCTGAGGCACCATATTGTAACCGCTTTGTACCACTGCCTCTGTGCTTTCTTCAGCTACCTCAGAACTGGATGTTTCCAGACACTGACTGGGAAAAAGCTGCTTAGCATTTCCAAAACTATGTATTATAAATATTTCAGCCTCTTTTGGGGACAGTGGCAGTTCAAAATAAGAAAGGAAACTATTGCGATATGCCTCCTGATGGTTCCTGGCTTTTTGGCTAGCTGTGGTGGCTGTCTAGTTTATTACATGGCTGTCATTACAGGATAAATGTAAGGTCTGCTTGACCTTGTTGCTTCTCCTGACCCTAAGGATGTTCTACAGAAAATAATGTTCATCCCCTGTTTTTCAGTACCAGCCCCAGTTGTTGGTCTCGAGGCATCCAACCGAAACATGACAGACAGTCTGTGGTTCACCTGGGGTCCAGCAGCAGGAGATGTTGACTTCTATGAGCTGACTCTTTACAACCCAAATGGGACACAGAAAGAAACATGGCACAGGAAAGACCTGAAAGAATGGCATTTCCAGGGGCTCATTCCTGGCAGAAAGTACACTCTGCTTGTGGTGACTCACAGTGGTGACCTGACCAACACAGCAAATGCTGAAGGAAGAACAGGTAAAAGACACAAAAGCTTTGGGATTTTTGTTTAGTCCCATCTGTCAGAGTTCATATTAGTTCACAACTATGCAACAGACTTATTCTGAGGGAGGATTTATTATAAGAGTCACTGAAGGTGTAAAGTTAAAGGATATCCTTAAGGGTATTAAACCAATGGAGTGTGATTTTGTTCAGCACTGTTTTTCTTTCAAAGGCTCAGGAATATGTAATGTCTGTGAAAGTCAACACCATCAGCACTGATGCAGTAACTGGCTGTGTACACGGGATAATATAAACCACTTTGTGATGCATGAAGAAAATAATGCATGTTTGATCTTATTTGTCTTGTGTAAAATTTGTTAAGAATCTCTTTTTTTTTTCCCTTCCCCCCCCCCCCCCTCCCTTGCAT